AAAAATGAATACAGATAGACGCAAACTAACGTCAGTGCTGTCAAATGCTCGCTAGCCGTTTTCTCTATTTTCACCACTCCCTTCAGTTCGCCTCCTTATGCTAAATAAAATAAAAAAATTGGGTACTTTTCGTGACTTTATTTTCCTAATTAAACAGTCAAAAATTATGATCTTTTTTTACAATATCCGTTTCATGTTCCTCTATCGCATGCTCATTTTTTGTAACAATCCTAAGATGGTATATGGATGCTAAAATAAAAAATCTTAAAGCTAAAAACATAATAGGCACAAACAATAAGAATAGAGAATAGAGAATATAAGTTCCAAGCCGTTAAATATAAGTTCGATATTATAATATATCCCAGAGTTCTGAGTGGACAGCTTGTTATTCTCTATTCCTATTACCTGTGCCTATTGTGTTTCCAGCTTAACTTGAGTTGTATATATACATCATATGTTAAAACTGCATATTTTAATTGCAATTATCTCAAAAACTAGATAGGTCTATGTTTCTAATTGTATTAGGTGTACAAATAAGTTTCCGCCGTTTGACAAAAGACGGCGCCACTAGCAAGCTATGGTTAAAATTGTCTGATGTAAAACATTATATCGTAAGGTTGAACATCTGTCAACATAATCTTGAAATACTAGCGATTTTGTATCAGAATCATATATTTTTTTTTGTGCGAAAATGCCGTTTTGAGCCGAATAAGCGTCATTTGCGGGAACTTTTGATTTACTTCTTTAATTTGAAGAAATCTGCAGCTGAGGCTCATCGATTGCTTGTAGAAGCATATGGTGAGGCTGCCTTAAGTGAGAGAAGTTGTCGTGAACGGTTTCAAAAATTTAAGAACGGTGAATTTGACGTCGAAGACAAAGAACGTAGCGGAAGGCCGAAAGTGTACGAAGATGCGGAATTGGAAGCATTATTGAATGAAAATTCGTGCCAAACGCAAAAAGAACTTGCACTTACATTAAGAGCGACTCAACAAGCAATTTCACATCGTTTGAAATCATTGGGGAATGATTCAAAAGCAAGGGAATTAGGTTCCATAAAACTGAACTGAAGCCGAGAAACGTTGAACACCGATTTTCCATATGTGAAATACTGCTTGTCAGGCATAAAAAAAGGACGGTCAGGCACGAAAGGATTTTTTGCATCGTATAGTCACTGGTGATGAAAAATGGATCCACTACGATAACCCAAAGAAGAGGAAATCATGGGGATCCCCTGGTCATGCTTCAACATCGACAGTCAAGCCGAATATTCATGGAAAAAAACTCATGTTGTATATTTGGTGAGATCAGCTTGGTATCGTGTATTATGAGTTGCTCAAACCGAACGAAACCGTTACTGGGGCTCTCTACCGAACACAATTGATAAGATTGAACCGAGGAAAAATGCGCCCACTACTACTCCAGGCATGACAAAATTATTCTCCTGCATGATAATGCTCGATCACATGTTGCGGCGCCGGTCAAAACCTACATGGAAACACTCAATTGGGAAGTTCTACCCCACCCGCCGTATTCACCAGATATTGCCCCTTCCGATTACCATCTATTTCGATCGATGGCGCATGGCCTGTCTGAGCAGCACTTCACATCATATGAAGATATCAAAAATTGGATCGATAATTGGATAGTCTCAAAAGATGAAGCGTTCTTCCAACGCGTTATCCGTATGCTACCAGAAAGATGGGAAAAAGTAGTGGCTAACGATGGACAAAACTTTCAATAAAACATATGTATCGTTCTTTCACAATAAATTCTTAATTTTTTATTAAAAACAGCGGAAACTTATTTGTACACCTAATACATAAACATAGAGAGCATTTCAATTTATGGCGTTTCCAATCCGATCGAGTTTGCACCGAGTTGGAAAATATTTTACTATTGGTTGACATCACATGCTGTACCAATAGGAGAGCACAAAACGTCGTTAATTCGGCCAGATTAGTGCAAACTCAACCGTCCAATGGGGAAAAAAATGTTTGAAAAAAATGTTTTTTTTAAACCTTTTAAAAACGTTTAAAATAATGAGAAATGTTCCTTTTTTCATTAAAAAAATGTTAATCAACACACGTTAAAAAAACGTTTGTTTCATGCTAAAAAACATTTTTTTTTAAATATTTTAAGGATATGTTTTTTTAATGTTAAAAAACGCTTTTTTAGATTTAATAAAAATTTTTACAATGATAAAAGTAATAAGAAAAATTTGAAATAACAAGAAAAATCCCTTTTTTCATTAAAAAAATGTTTATTCAAACGTGATAATGTAAAAAAAAAACGTTTTTTTAATATTAAAATTATTTGAACAAAATTAGAAAAAATATTGTACAATGCAGAAAATCTTTTTTAATTTATTATTTTTTATCAATAATACATTTAACCTTAGATAACCAATTTTATTAATTAATTTTTAATTATATTTTTATCTTTTTAACTTACCAGGTTGAATTTGGAATCTCAGGATTGAGTCTCATACCTTATCCGTTACACTACTTACAATTGTCGATGGACACACTTCATATTGTCCATAAATGATATACTTAACACAATTATATTGGATTATAATAAATGTCAATATGTGGCCGAAATTTAAAAACGAAAAGATAAAGGGCATACATCACGAACGCCAGAAATCGTCGCGATTGATTATATTTGATTACAAAACATTATAATCTAATTTCATATAATTAAATACATAAACGTTTCGGTCTTATACGTATATTAGGCCATTTTCAGTATATAATAATTACAAAATATTTACGCAAAACAACAATTCGTCTACGTGTATAGTCTTATGACATGTCTACTTGTAACATGAAACCGCTCGTTATTTAACAAAAAAATTTGAATTTATTCTTAATTAGCAAGTAATTGATGTTAGTCCGAACAGATCAAAATTATCAATATTCAAAGGCAATCATCTTTTTATCTTACAAGAATTCAGATCCTATTGTTCTTATTTAGTTGTTGAACGAAAAATTTCCAAATTCTAGAGTCCAACATGAAATAAATGTTTAGAAAATGTTTTTCAAGTCATTATCTTAATTAACAATTTTGATGTAAAAAACACATTTAATAAATGTTAAATAAGCATTTAAAAAATATTTCTTTAAAATACTGTTTCAAATAAGTAATTAATGTAAAACGAATTTAATTAACGTTAAATAAACATTTAAAAAATGTTTTTTTCATGGTTATTTGAAATAAAAAATTAATGTAAAACAAAATTCATTTCATGAACGTTAAGTAAATGTTTAAAAAACATTTTTTTGAAACATTATTTCAAACAAAAAATTAACATTTACATACACAGTAAAATTAACATTTAATAAATATTAAATAAACGTTTAAAAAATGTTATTTTGGAAATGAATTATAAAATGTAAAATTAATTACAAATAAACGTTAAATAAATGTTGTTTTGAAAACGAATCATGAAATGTGAAATTAATAAATAATAAACGTTTAAAAAACGTTCAAAATGTTAAAAAATATTTTCTCTCCATTGGGCAGTCGGAGAAAATATTTATATCATTACTTGTATTTAAAATTATAATACATTCGTAAAAGAATCATTTTACAAGTATTACTTTAAACATTTATTGGTTATATTTAGTCTATAGTCTATAACATATTTCTTGCCTTTGAGTTGATCAAATTCCGACAGCATTGTCGGGAGAGGTAAGAGATTCGAAAGGGCGGGGAAGATAGAATTCGGTTATTCTTGAGTCATGGAAAATATTGTTAAATTTACAATTTCCTTATTTATTGCGCGCGCAGGGATCACACAACAAAAGAACTTTGAAATGTCAAAAATTATTTTTTAAGCTTTCATGGATATTTTTTTCAGAAGTGTCAAAGGGTTTGCGGCCAGTTATCATATTATTTGGTTGCTATGATTCATCGCTGATGCCAATATTTCATGATCTTTACTATTCACTTTATCGAGGCGAGGAGTGCGCTTCTCACCCAGATGAAGTAAAGGCAAAGTTCACGAAACGTTGACGTTAACAATAAATCACGAGGATGATATCCCTTTGACAGCTCTGAAAAAAATAAATAAGTAATAATAAATAAGTAAAAATGAATAGTAATATTTTAAACCTTAAAACTTACTTTAACATGCTTTTGGTCAATTTTCAAACAATTTTTATGTTTACAAATCTGTATCTCTAACAAAATCGAATTACATTGTTATGTTCTTCAATATTACGTACATTCAATAGTCTATAGCTCGATAAAAAATTTTTTCTCAAAAAGTTTAATACTTTTTACAAAAAAGAATAGTTTTGTCTACAAAATGCCATCTTAAAAATTTTTTTACAATTTTTCTTGACCGAATTATGCGACTTTGAAGCTAAACCTGCATGTATTTTTTATAATCAACGTTAAAATTCGACGAAAAATTATAGTAAAGATTTAAAAAAGTATTTTAAAATTCGATGTTTGTATAATATATTAAGATGCTTTTGATCGTTTTAAATTTAATTCTGTGGAATTGGTGAGTTTTTGCGTTTTGCCGAATTTCAACGTTGGTTATAAGAAATACAGGTTTAGTTTCAAAGATATGATCATAATTCGGTCAAGAAAAATCGTAAGAAAATTGTTAAAAAAGTATTTTGTCAAATTGTTCTTTTTTGTAAAAATATTATATAAATTTTTTTAGAAAAAAATTTTTGGAGCTACAGACTGTTGAATATATGTAATTTTAAGGAATATAACAATTTGATCTTCGTTTTCACCGAATTTCAATGATCTGCAAAATTGTGCAATTTGAAGCGTGTTCTTTATTTTTTGTTGAGTAGTGTATAATTCATATCAAATCAATATTAAATCGACAATGATAGGTCTGAGAATTTTATTTTATCAAATAAATAAATTAAATTGTCGAAAAAAATGATCATTTAATATTAAAACAAATTCCGTAAATCGTTAGAAAATAATTTACTCTAATATATTTTAATGAAAAACATATATCTATATTTTAGGAGTCGATACCGGGCTGGACCGACGCGGAAGTTGCGTCGTCGCGCCGTTCTGAAAAATGGCGATTGCAATGTGTTACAATCACGCATCTCCCGGCGATCATTGCGTTTTCTTCAAGACATCTTCACAACTTTAGTGGATACACAATGGCGTTGGACCCTGCTATGTTTTATCTTAAGCTTTCTTTTATCTTGGCTGGGTTTTGCAGTGATTTGGTGGCTAATAGCCTTCACTCACGGTGACTTCGAAGAGCATCATTTGCCGCCTTTTCAAGTAGAAAACAACTGGACACCGTGCGTTTACAATATTTTCAGCTTCACTAGTTGTTTCCTCTTTAGTATCGAAACTCAGCATACTATTGGATATGGCAGCCGCTCTACTACCGAAGAATGCCCTGAAGCTATATTTATTATGTGCCTTCAGAGTATCGCTGGTGTCATGATCCAAGCTTTCATGGTATGAGGAATGTTAAACTCTTACATATAAAACGTCGAATCGTAAAAAGTTAAATTTAATTAAAGAATTAATTGCAGGTGGGCATCGTATTCGCTAAAATGACCAGGCCAAAACAACGTACTCAGACTTTGTTATTTTCGCGAAATGCTGTGATTTGTCAACGAGATGGTGAGCTTTGTCTCATGTTTCGAGTGGGTGATATGAGGAAAAGTCACATAATTGGCGCAAGTATACGCGCACAAATGATTCGCAATAAAATTACCAAAGAGGGTGAAATTCTGTTTCAACACCAGCATGAACTGGTAGTAGGTACTGATGGTGAAAATGGCGATCTATTTTTTATTTGGCCAGCTACCATCATTCATCGGATCAACGAATCTTCGCCCTTCTTCAATATGTCCGCTGAAGATATGTTAACTGAACGTTTCGAAATTGTTCTAATCTTAGAAGGTACTATCGAATCTACTGGACAAACTACTCAAGCAAGGTCTAGCTATCTTCCGCAAGAGATTCTATGGGGCCATCGTTTCGATCCCATTGTAAGCTATTCAAAGGAACGACAAGGTTATGAGGTAGACTATTCACTGTTTAATAGTACCACTCAAGTTGACACTCCATTGTGCTCTGGCAGGGAGCTTACAGAATTTTATAAGGCGCAGGATGATCTTCGTCATGGAACTGGTACGCGATCATGTGATCAATATTTCTTATATAAATTGTACAAATAATTTTCTAAATCTTTGATTTTTATTAAATGAACACGGAGCTTAATATCCAAAATAACAATTTATTTTAGTTTCTTTGAAAACATTGATTTAAAAACACTTACATTTCTTACAATTGTAATTATTAAATTATTGCATATAAAATATTGCAAAATTAGTTTTATAAAAAATTTTATAAAGTTATTAAATATGTTCATATAATCAATTAAACTTATTCATATGCAGAGGGCGAGGGATAAATGAGAGCAATATAAGAAAACGATGCGGAAATTAGTGCACTATTAACAATATTAATTAATTAGTAAATTACATTCAAATTAAAATATAAACTGTCATCTTTTCAATGTCCATAAATGAAAAGAACTATCGTTTGTAGATCGCAGATAATGAAGATGGCTTGAAGTAAGCCGAAACGCATAACAAACTCGACAGTATTAATTTAAACATAATTTATTAATATGTTGTGTTAATAATGTATTAATTTTTAATTAAAAATGCGTCGTTTTCTTGTATTATTTTCATTTGTTCTTGCCTCCTTCCCCTTCAAATAATTTCTATTCATTATTGAATTTCAAGAATTCTCATTAATTTATTACTTGTAATTGTTCATATTATAAATCAAGAATTAGAACAGCGATGTAAGAGAGCAAATATTTTATTAATGAAATGTAGAGCAGATTTCTTGCAAGATATTAATATAAATCAAATTTTATATTTTCACAATATGAAATACTGGTAACAAAACAATTCCTATCTACATTATCTATTTATATTATAATTAATGAGCGCTTTCAGCGGACTCAATTGTTGCGGAGCGGATCCATGAGCACACGCTGCTATGAGATGATCTAGAAGAATAAACCAATAATAGCGAGCGCTCACAGATCCGCTCCGCAATAGTTGAATTTGCTGAACGCGAATACCTATCTGTGTTACAATTAATAGATATACTTAACAATTAATGTATTTGTTTAATCTAAGATAATTTTTTTATATACATTCGATATTGTTTCTACGTTATAATACAGTAGCAATTTATAATGTTGTAAATGCATTGTTCGTTTACACTTATCTCTAGAATTCAGAATCAAAGAATTTGTATTTCCTTATAATAACCGAATTTAATTATTTTTAGATTTTAACAAAGTTATCTACAAGATTTAAAATTTTATATTATTACACACAACATATGAACGCGCATATAGATTTTGTCGAATTCATTTATTATTAATATTTAATAGAAGGACCTAATACAGAGGATATAAAAAAAAATTGACTTTAGTATTACATATTATTAATTTTCTTACTCGAAAACTTCTGAACTTTGTAACTATTAATTGTACTAATTGTTAACACTTAGTTTGAACTAGACTCCTGGCACTCGGTTTCATGCAGTGAGTTGTGTATAATGCATGATATAAAGACAAGAATATGCCTATGCACAATGTAATCACGTGACAATCGAGTGACCAATTAGAATTGTTATCAAGTACGTCATCGTTTCGTGATAAATTCTTGCAATACACTTTAATAAATACAAAAAATATTAAACACAAAACAAATATTAAAAATAATAAACAAATTTTCGATGCAAGTATGTAATATAAGAATTTGTTACGCTTTTCTTAACCATCATGTAATAATGAAAGAAATTGTTTTATTTGTTAGAATATCTGGAAATTATGCATTCGAGCACTTAATCATTCTTTTCAAATTATGGATACATTAAATATAATCTGTCAAAGAATGAATTTATTTAATCTGCATATAATATTATTATGTAACGAGTGTTTTTCACATCAATTTTTATTGGAACTGACAAGACTCTAGTTTCACAATTTAAGGCATCTATCAATCTAATTGCAATAATATCTTTATTTGAATAAAAAAAAAAGTAATTCAATGCTCGATTAAAATAATCAGTTAAAGGCTCAGAACACAAGATATTCTTCGCTATTGTTATAAATTACTAAACTTATATTTAATTAACCAAAATATAGATATTTCGGCCTTCTATCATTTTCAATGTTACAAATACAATCTACATTAAAACAATTACAATGACATACTAAAAAATTCCAGAAAAGTTTAGCGCTTATAATATTAAAAACCTTAATCCTGAAGCAACAACGTGTGCAATCCGAAAACCTTGATATGATTGCAAGAAATTATAGGATCTTGTCTTAAACCTGTCCATGATGTCATTTCAGGAATGAATCCCATCTTATTACAACGTATTAGTTAACAATTATAATTTGCCATCATATAAGATTATTGGGTCTCTTCTCAAAAGCTTACATATATAAATTGTCCATGATAACGTGATGATGTATTGCTGTGTTATTACCAACGAAAATGATAATAATTACAGCGTACAACAGTATGCATGCGGTCTTAATACTGCTTGCTGTACATACTGTTGTACGTTATAATTATAGATAGATTTATAAAGTTTTTATTCCAGTTTTTTTTAAAATCAATGTCTCAGAGACCAATCTCAATAAAAGTATTGTTATTTTATCTAGTGCTTAAAGATTAAAATATCAAATAAGAAATAAATTTCAAAAATGTATTTAATGAATATTTTTTAGCTAGCTTTCTAGGTTGTGAAAAATGTATCATTTTTTCAAAATATATTTTTCCCATAATTTATTTCAAACCAAGAATCGAACGACACTTAAAACATTGTTAGCGATAAAACAAACACAGCCATAGTCGCAAATCATGGCTGCGAGCATGTATGTTTATAAAGTGTATTTTGTGCAGATCACATATTAAAGTGAAATGTACAGTAAAAGGCTATATAAATTATTGGAAAACGAAAAATCTTCTGATGAAATTTTCATTTCCAAAAGATGAAGCAGTTTGCATTAAATGACGTGAAGTCTATGCAAATCGAAATATCTCCGTTAACAAAGGTAATATTCTAAGAAAGTATAACTCCGATATATACGCTGCACCTATCAAAAACTTAATTTATTAAGTATTATTTACTATGTTTAAAATAAACGAATTATATCAATAAAAACTTTGTACTGTCCACTATTATGAAAAAAATATTAGAAATTTGAAATATTTATATTTCGTATTAAAACATGAACTTTTTTAAATCCTTGTATTTTTGTCGTATATCCTATAGAGGTGGGATATATGGCTATTCATAGGAGGAGGGAGGAGGATATGTATGGCTCATAAAAAATTTACAAATAATGCATATAAATAAGATGTAAAATGACACAATAACTTATAAAATTCGTTTATAAAGTTTTATTAAGGAATAAGAATGATAAATACGTAATATATAAAGTAATAAATAATAATTACAATCTTCCTAGATATATTACAAGTGTTATAACATGAGGTATTTATTTCAAACGACACTTAAAGCATTGTTGGCGATGTATATTTCATGTAATGCGTTTATTTAGTGCACTGAATTCAATCTGTGCACTTTGTATGCTTTGAACATAAATCCTGCCTGTTAAAAATGCCATATATCCCAAACAGGTAGGATAATAATACAGATAATAATAAGACAACGAAGAATATAAGAGCAAACTTGTATCTTGAGTCTTGTGTGATACTTTGTGTTGTTAACATCTTTGCTCGCCGCTCCGCTCTAATTTTGCCTTCTTGCTCAATTTCTACGTTCTTTCTTGTGAAAAGTGCTTTTACTTATTAGCTCGCTGCACATTTTTCATTTTATTATGATCTTTGGTGATTATTGCAACACTTCAGTTTTTATCTTCTAATTTTTTACTTTTAACGTTCTCGCGAATGCTGGTCGGCGAGCAGAATGTATTTCTGTAAATGAGTGACGCGATATTTCTGCGTTTCGTTATTTTATTAGTACGTTTGTACTGCGTTAGTTGTATAATTTTCATTACATTCTTATAATATTTTATCATTGTGTAATAATTTCTATAGGCACGTCATAATTTTATATTCAAATCTAGTCGTTATATCATTATTGTTTGTTCGTCATTCGTTTCTGCCTTTGTTTAAAGGACAGACATAGATATAGATAATTATTTTGTATAATTAATTTGCTGCGTGTCTTTGTTGTGCAATCCTACGCGTAAACACATTCTCTTATACTGTATCTAATTTCGTGTACTTTAGCATGAGTCAGTTGACGTGTACCAAATGTAAACGCTTTATTTCGCATAAATGCCCTTGCGCTTTCTGTGGCGCTGACAATAGTTTGCGTCCTTTCAATTATTGAGTTCCTGTTATTACAATTGAGGATGGGCTGTCGTTGCTTCTGCTTGGAGCTGCTGCTGCCTCCTTGTCTAATTGCGTCTCGCCGCCTTTTATTTCACTTCTGATGAAAATGACGGAATGCAATGTCATTCCTTTCAGATGTCTTTTGATATCTCATCGGCTCTTTCTGCAGTTAAGTCCTCCTGGTCTACTCTAACTAAATCTATCTCCTCTTTGCACAATTGCTCGTATTGAATCAGGACTTAGTCTTCTAGATCGTCTCAAGCCCATTCTAGAGACATTTAATGCTAGGATGATGAAGTTCGATGGGGTACGTCTCGGGGATGTCTGAGGAATGGACTGAATGCATCTGATGTCTGCGGTTCCTGGCCGGTAGGGTCTCTATTTGCGAATGGGCTACAGCGTCTGAGTAGCGCACTTTTACTGAGGCTCATCGACTGGCGGCGGCGCATGTTGGGAGTGTTTGGATACATTCTCATAGGAATACACTAGGTGATCACATATTTTCACGTCAAGGATAATACGCCTTCGTTACACTTCCCCGGATTCAGTTCTCTCCATCCTCAAGTCCGCTTCACTCCCATCCGCTCCCTCTTGTCCCCGCTGCTTGTATCCGTCTCAATTTTCGGATTCGGGGATGGGTGTCTCTCGTAATAGCAGATTTGTCTACGTTTTGTGCACATTAGGTCGCTCGTTCCGCATGTTGCGTTGATTAGAGACGTTATCGCCTTC